ACAAATAAAGTAATAAGTGTTATAATTAGTCAAGATTTTATTAAATCAATTATAGAAGGTCCTATTTATGATTTGGAAATATTTAAAATTATTAATTTATTATTTGATGAATTATATTTAAATTATTTTGATAAATATAGTAATAATATATTTAATAATATTTCACATAATCCTAATGATTTAATTTCTAAAAATAATTATAATAAAATATTAAATATTTTAATATGTTGTACTGATAATAATTTTAAAAAACAAAATTTAATGTATAATTTAATTAAATTTCATTTAAATTATTGTAAATATAAATTTGGATATATTCAATCAAATTTAGAATGTTCAAATGAATATTCTAAAAATTTATTTTTAAAATTTAATTATGAAATTAAATCAATTGTTAATTATAATAATTTTAATTATCAAAATGAAAATGATGAATTAATTTATCCATTAAAAAATAAAATTGAATATCCACATGAAAATATTTATTTACTTTGGAATTATAATATTTAATATAAATTAATATAAATTAAAATAAATATTTAATAAAATTAATATTTAAATATTTAATATAAAAATAATAATTTATTTTTCAAATAAAATTAACATAAATTAGGATTAAAACCAACAGGTTCAGATAAAATAACTTCTTCAAAAGTTAAAGCTTGTAAATAAACTTGTAAATTTAATTTAAAACATTGAGGTGATTGAGAATGGAAATGAACATTATTAATTCTTAAACATAAACCAACTTTATAAAAAATATCAGCACAAATAGGTGGAATTAAATCACCTAATGTAAATGTATGTTGATATATCATTTCATTATTTGCTTTCATTATAATATTAGCTGTGTGTTGATTTAAATTAATTGATAAAATAGTTTCAGCTTTACCATATAAATTTTGTGATAAAATCTTTTTAGAAATTTCAAATGAACATTTAAATTTCTTTACATCTTGTTGACTATTATCATATGCACAATTAGCTGATACTCCTCTCATTCTATTAGAATATTGTCCATTTGATGTTGTTATTGTTGTAATATTATTATTATTAGCAATAAGATGATGATTATGAGGCTTATTATTGTTACTTGATAATAAAATTAAAGGTGAAATAAATGCTCTTTTACCAAGTGCTTCAATTCTTAATTTTGGATTGGATATTGTTTGAACATTATCAACAATTAATAAACCATTATTATTATTATTATTAGTGGTACTACTAGTTACACCTGTTATTACTGCTAATATAGTGACAGTAAATATTAAGGTAATAAGAGTGATTGTATTCATATTTTTTTAAGGATGATATCTTCAGAAAATGTGAGATATTTCTTTGGACTTTTTGATTTTTATTGCAATTATGATCAATGTTTTTGTTTTTTATATGGATTTTCATTCTCCTTCTCGGACTTTCGCTTGGTTTTGTCATTTTCGTCTGTGAGAGTACTGGTAGAATTAAAGATTTGATCATAATCAAATGTGTCAATACTTGGGTTCAATCCAATTATTTGCAGGCATTGTTCTGCAGATGGTCTACTTTTTCTTTCAATTTTAATCATCTCTTTTATCAATTCATGTAATTTGATGTGAACAATATCAAAATACTCTTCTTTAACTCTGGGATTTGTTATTTTTGATAATAGTGCATGTTTTTCAAGTAACCTTCCCAATAAAATCTCCATAAAAACCTTTCCCAATGAATAAATATCAGATTTTGGATGAATACAATGATCTTGACCTTTTCCTTTTTCAGGTGGATTATAGAAATATGTACCACTAGTTGATTGTAATAACTCATCATGAACATCATATGCCAAATCATCAGTTACAGTTAAAAAGCTCTTTGATAATTCAAAATCAATAAACTTAGCTCTATTTCTGAAAATAACAATATTATTTGGTTTAATATCATTGTGTATTACCTTCTGTTCATGTAAATGTTTCAATTCACTCAATAATTGTATAATTAATTCTAATTTAGATATATTAAACCTAGCAGAAATATTGTCCACTTTCAACACTTCTCCTGCAAGAGATAACTCAAATTTACAACCTAATATTCTGTCACCCTCTCTTGTTGTCACTTTTTCTTGATTGAAACATAGTGAACAAAAAGTATTACTTAAACTCTCAGAGTGTTTCAAAATCTTTACATAATAAGATACATTTTCATTGTTTGATGATACTGCTACAAATAACTGCTTGTAATGTAAATTTACATGTATATTTGATAGAGTTATTAGAATATTATCTTGTCCTTTCATGAATATTAATTGATCATTTACCTTATAATCAAGTTTAGAATCTATCATATGAGACTTTTTAAGAGTAGAAAAAGAAGCAACATCATTTAAGGAGCATTGTATAATGTTAGATAGTATTTTCTCCTCCTCACTCAGTGCATATTGTGAAGCTGTCATTATGAAAGAAAACAATAAATGATTCTTGTCTTGTTCATTTTCGTTTTTTACATCAAGAGGAAAGGTTCCAATGTTAAGTAACGTGTATTGAAAAGTTGTTGGGTTAGAATCATTCACTAAAATTTCTGTTCTATTATTTGGGAAACCTTTAATTCCAATAATACGAACAAATTTCTCATCTTTTAAAAAGAAGTATGTTACAAGTATTTTGACATTCTCCATAATTGAATATTCTATTTTTGGGTTTAAATTTATCATGGTAGAGCTATGGATAACCCTTAATATGGTAATTGCTTTAACTAGATCAGTAATGTGAGTACTATCATGTTTAGTTGTGTCTTCAATAAAGTTTAATCTTTTGAATTTTCTATCTTCGTAGTTGTAATTCATTGTTTCTATGGCAGATATTTCATTTGATGGACCAATTAAGGAACTAAGCAGACCAAACACTTCTTCAGAAAATGGCTCTTGTGGGAAATGATTAAACGTATTTATACTGATATTTCTATATTAAATAACTAAACAGTTTCTGTTGTTGAATATATACTTACTCGTTTCGTTTAAAATTAAATAAGCTTGTTAGTTGTAATAATTTTGTAAACTTGTTATCAACACTCTTTAATGTATTAGATTTTGGATTAGTGAAACATGAAATTAATTGCAATACTGTTTCTGGAGATATTGGTAAATCGAATCTATCCAACAATGTTATTGTTGTTGAAGTTATACCATTTCCAACTTCTTCCCCCATCACAATATTATCAACCAATTTATCAATTTCATTTCTAAACTCTTTAATGATGAATACATGTTCTTTAGCAGCTGAAAGACATACATCAACTTCATCGGAAAACTCAATATCCAATATTCTAGATACAGCTAGCAACTTTCGTTTCTCTACTAAATTGTTTGTACACCACGACTTTGGAAGTGTAAATGTGGCTAATTGTTCCTTAATGTTTTCGGGTGAAAAGGATTTCTCGAATAAACTCATAAATTTGTCATCAAACTCTTGAGCCATTTTTTTTTAAAATAAAGTGTTTGCCTTAATTTCCAAATTGCCAAACCTTCTCTGAAATTTCTACTAGTGTTAAATTCTTGAGCTTTAGCATGTTGACTTGATAAAGAAAACCACGTTTTTTCTGAAATTCCTGCTCAAGAATTTAACACTAGTAGAGTGTGACCTTAGCACTCTTTGTGTTGGATGGAGAGGCACCATTAGCATTTACATTTACAACTTGAGAAAGAGGTGGAGGTGGTGGAGCAGTTGTACTCTTCTTTTCCTTCGTTTGTTTGATTGCATTTTCGAGACCAACCTCCTTTTCCAATTGAGAAAATTCTTCCAATTCTTTGAATTTTTCAACATCTGGCAAATCAATAGTTGCTTCTTCTTCTAATTTTGCCAAAATATCTGAATGCTTGATGGTTTGTTGAGAAGGACGTCTTGAAACCTTCTTTGGTTTGGAACTCAACTTTCTTTGAATGAGTTGGTTATTAGATTGTTGAATTACCTCTTGAGTTGAAGCGACTGGAGTAGTGATAGTACTAGATGTAACTTCCTTCTTATTGTTTGCATCTTCCTTACTACTTGGTTTGATTAAGGAATTGTATGCATTTCCAGAAAAGTTTCTAAACTTCTTCATCTTTAAACGTTCTACAATGAGTCCTGAAATTTCAGCAGGTTTTGATTGCTTTTCTGGTGTTGCAGTAGTTGTTGGTTGAGTGGCAACATTGTTAGTAATTACTTTGTCGATTTTGGAGTAAGTTTAGTTGTAGCAACTGGCTCTTTGACAGGTTTAGGAGGTGATTGGATGACAGTTTCATTTGGAATCTTCTTTGTTTCTTCAATAATTGGATTGATTGGTTTGGTGATGACAGGTTTGTTATCTTGTTCTGCGGGTTTCTTTTCAACAATTGGTGTTGGCTCACTGATGACAACTTTAGGTTTGATGATGACAACCATTGGAGATTCTTGTTCTAGCTGGTTCCAAGTCAACTTTAGAAGAAGTTCTGTTTTGTGTTTCTTGAAAATACAATGTAATTTATAACCTAAGAAGCTATCACCATAATTCATGAAGAAGTAATAAAGTTGAGAAATAACAATAATATTGTGTTATTATAATACTAGTATCTGCACGACAACATTTAACAGTTCAAAAAAGCAGAAATATGTTATATACCGAAATTTTGAATTAGGGTAATTTAACGAATTTATAACGTTGGAATACAATAACTATACGTTATCCAATACTTGTACTTACGTTAGAATATTATCATATGTTTTTATTACATGCACAACTACTGCGAACAAACAACTGGTAATAACAATACACATATTGGCCCAGTGTAAGTAGCGCTACACAATGGTTAAGTCTAGAACATATGTTGACATAATCCTTTGTTCAAATACACTAGGATCCTTTATAGTGATATAATATGTTTGGTGCTCTGTTACATGCAAAGGTGTTAAATACTTTAGATAGCCCACAACCTTTGTTAATTCTAGTACCCAGAGTTTACCAGGGTTAATAGTGTATAAGGTATTACTACTTGAACACCAAATACTATTTACACAAAATGCAACCTATTTATCCAATTTGGTATCTTTCCTTTTACATTGTATTTATTGGTTGAAATTTAACTATCTTGGAGGAAACGTTGTTCGGAAGATTTTTGACTTTCAAATGGACTACTCTGTGGTGGGTGTTACACAATACTGTAGTGCAGGGCCAAGCCTTGTTCAATACAGCCACCCAGTCTACAGTATTTCTAAACAAAACACTATGTTTGTTGAAAATTCTTATTCTAATTTCATTCTATAATATCAATTCCAAGAAAAAACGAGACAATGACGGATCCAAAATTACTTATTACTAATATCAATACCAGCCTTTCTCAATTCAAACAAGTAACCCAATCTTGTATGATAAATAAATTCCAAAGCTTTGTATCATTCCACATATTGAGATATGAGTTTCCTCCAAACCCTAAGTGAGCTTTCACATATGTCTGTGGCATCATTAACTGTTGTAGGCCGAGCAATATTATCTATGCCCATGAAACACTTTCCTAAGGTCTCTTAAACATTCACTTAGAATTACAATATTAGCAGTTCATTCGAAAATGAAAGCAGCTTGAAGAAGAGGAAGAAACATAATTCGTCTTGAATTTTATTTAAAACTCTTGGAAATTCAAGTAATAATAATAATTAATTTCTCTTATTTGGTTTAATTTTCATTGATTTAAAATATTGTACAACTTGAGAAGGTATTTCCATTAAAGTTTCTCTAGCTAATAAATGATAATTTTGATAATTAAATTTACGAAATGGTACAAATTGTACAATATCTCTAATTGAAATTTCATTTCCGTTTGATAATCTTTTATCATCACCATCTAATAAATGCATTTGTGAAAAATCAGCAGAACCAACACCAACAATAACAACACTTAATGGATATTTAGATGCTTTAACTAATTCCTTAATTGTATCTGGTAAATCTGTAATTTCACCATCTGTTAATATTAATAATATTAAATATTTTTGATTATTTTGAGATTGTTCAACACTTAATTGTGATGCATAGGCAATAGCTGTTTGAATTGTTGGTGAAAAATTAGTTGGTCCATATAATTCTATTTTAATTAAATATTAAAGTAATAAATATTATTAAAATTGTTAAAATTATTAAATAAATAATTGAAACATACGAACAGTATTTAAAGCTAATCTATATGATTGTAAAATACCATCTACACCTACACAATTAGGATTAGATGGATTACCATTTAATGCAAAACAATGACTAATATCACCTGTTGGTAATTTTGCACCAAATCCAAATGCTATTAAAATTAAATAAATTAAATTAAATAAATATAATAAAATAAAAATATAATTTAATATAAATATAAATATAAATATTAAATAATAAAATAAAAATTTCAACATACATGGAAATAATTTATCATTATCATAATAAGATAAAATATCAGTAATAGATTTAATTGCCATTTCATATTCATTAAATTTACCACCAAAATGTAAAGATGATTGATCAGTTGGATTTCCATTTGAAGCAGTAAAATCAATTGAAACAATTAAAGAAACTTCTAATCCACCTGATAAATAATCTATAAATGTATATTCTTCTTCTTTTGGTTCAATTAATAATGTTTTTACTTGTATTTTACCTGTTACTTTCTTTTTATCATCATTTAATATTAAATTATTATTTTTTAATTCTTTTAATTCTTTAATTGTAAAATTTGTATATCCAATCTATATTTTTTATTAAAAATATATTAAAATATATTAAAATATATAAATTAAAATATTAAAAATAAAAATATTATAATAAAAAATAAAAAAAAAAACCTACCAAATCTGGATCAGAATGTTTATCCCAATCATAAATAGTTAATATTAATTGTAAATTTTCATCTAAATTACATAATTTAAACATTGAAATTGTAAATGGATTAAATATTGGATTTAAATTATTCATTATAATTTCAGATTTATATAAATCAATTAATTTTCCATTTACATTTCTAGAAATTATAAAAAATGGATCACTCTTTCCAAATAAATCTTTTTTAGCTAAATTTTTACCTTCTATTTGTAAAGTTAAATTAAAATCTCTAATTTTAGATATTTCTTCTGCTCTAATAGTAATAGTACCACCATTTTGAGAATTACCATATTTATCTAATAAAGGTACATTTATAGTAGAATTAGGTTTACTAACAATATCAGATATTTTTAATTCACATTTACCTAAAAAATCATCATCATTTAAAGTAGATGATTCATTATCAACATCATAAATAAAAAATTGAATTGGTTGAATTTCTTCAAATTTATAATTTACTATAAATGTTTTAATAAAAGAAGGATTTAAATTATTTTTTTGAATTTCAGTTCTACCAATTTCAATATAATTATATATATTATTTGAAGTAGATGAAGTAGTAGTAGTAGAATTAGTAGTAGAATTGATAGATTGTTTTTCACCTAATTTAACTAATGCTAATGGATCTGATTTACTTAAAATATCTTTATTTTTTAAATTAGAACATGATATAAATAATTCTAATTTAGTTTGTGGTGTTGATGATGAAAGTACATTAAATGGATCCATTATTATTATTATTAATAGTTTGTTATATTAATTATATTAATTATATTAATTTAAATAGATTACACAATTTTATAGAGATGATCAAAGAGAGATAATATCACAACAACAATATAGTGTGTAGTGATGATGTTTTTTTTGATTGCTTTTTAAAAACCGTTGCCATGATGATGACTTTGTGATGGTGTGATGACTTTTTCCATTGGGTTCATTAATAGATAACATGAACTTTTGACAAGAGAAGGGCGACCCAATCCCATTAATCACTGCATCATATCAATACCATTAAATAATACAATAAATAATATTTATTTAAATTAATAAATTATTATAATACACACAATTTACAAATAATATTAAATTATTATTCTTGTTGTTGTTGTTGTTGTTGTTGTTCAATATTATTATTATTAAATAAAGTAGGATCTCTAATAATTTGTCTTTTAAAAGTAGGTTTAGTAAATTCAGTTAATTCTCTAGCATAGATTTCATATCTAGAAGTGGATTGAAACATCCATCTATCTTTAACTTGTCTATTTAAATTTAAATCAATTTCAGTAACTAGTAAACCATCACCTAATCTAGTTAATTCAGGTGATCTACTTGCATCAGGTGCACTAACATATGATGATCCATAGAAATGTCCAAAATCTTTATGTGCTTTTTTACCATCAGCTGATGTAAATTCATTTGGAAATACTTCTGTACCAACTCTATTAATACTTGCTACAAAATAACTATTAGCAATAGCTGCATTTCTTGCTTCTATTTTAATATTAAATATAAATTAAATTAAAATATAAATTAAATATAAATATATTAAATAATATAAATATAAATTAAATAAATAAATAAAAAACATACCAATTGACCACATAGGTTCAGATAAAGTACCAACAGTAGCAGAAGGATTAAAAACAATTTCAGCACCATTTAAACCATAAGATTGCCAATTTAAAGGAATATGTCTACCATAACAAATATTAATACCAATTCTACCAAAATCAGTTTCAAAAACAGGATGACCTAAATTACCTTCCAAATAATAAGTTGCTTCATTAAAATCTCCAACACGTGGTATATGATTCTTTCTAACTTTACCAATATAATTACCTCTATTACCAATTACAACTGCTGTATTCCAAATTACATCATTATGTTCTGAATCTCTTTCTAAAATTGATGATACAATTACCATATTATATTTTTTAGCTAATTTAGATAAAAATTGTGTTGAACGTCCTGTTTCTGCTTCTTCAGAAAATTCCATCCATGGCTATATTAAATTATTATTATTATTTTTATATTAAATATTAAATATATTAAAATAAATATTAAATAGTAAATATATTAAAATAAATAAAAAATATTAAATATATTAAATAAAATAATATAAAAAAAACCTACTTGTTTTTCTCTTGTACAAAAAGCAAATGGCATTGTCCATGCTTCTTGTAAACCAATAACATTAACACCCATTAAATAGGCAGAATCAATAATTTTTTCAATTTTAGATTCAATTGCCTTATATTGTACATCAATTGGTTCAGTTGTATTGGTTACAATAGAATTTTGTATTAAACCTAATTTAACAATACGTGGTTTTCTAGATTGTTCTAATTGAACATTATCAATCATTGAATAAGCTCTAACTTCAAAATTATGTTCAATTGCTTGTTCTTTTACTTGTTTTGGAATTGGAAGTGATTTCCATTCATTACCATATAAAATACGACGAACTTGTGAAAAGGTTTCTTGTGGAAGGTGTTGTTTTAATGCATCATATACTGTTGAAAGTGATGTCATTGGATCATTTGGTTTAATATGTTGATTATTTTCCATACGAATTAATACTTCTTCACTTTTTACAATCATCATATTATTACATTGTAATGTTATTGTTAGAATACATAATAATAACATATTAAATACTACTACCATAGTTGTAGTAGTAGTAGACTTATGTTTAGTGATCAAATTCATCTTGATTATATGAGTTTGATCAGTGAATGATGGCTTGATGATTTTTTTTTTGTAAATTTAATTTCAGTTCATTTGAGAGATGTGATCGACGACGACGGATCACACAACAAGTCTTCAGATGATCGATCACAACAACAACATCACAGGAGATGGGATCATGAACTCTACGCAATGATAACATCCAATCAAATAATGCAATTGTAAACTAGTTGTATTTCACACATACATGTTTTAAATATTTATATTTCACATAATATTATGCATTGCAGTAGGTTGTATAAATGATGATGCATGTATTTATTATTGATTTGATCAGACATGTACAACTGTAGTGTAATACATTACAAATATAGTCATGGTGGTAAAGAAATAAAGATCATACCTTATTAGAGTTCTATTATCATATTGAACTTACTCATCAAAATCTCTTATACATCAAGTTGCATCCTAACATTTTAATCTCCAACATGTTTTGCTCAGTTGAATTTTAAATTCAAATTTGAACTACTAGTATTATCATTTTTGAATTAGAACATATTTATTAAACTATTTATTAATATATATATATTTAGTATATGATAGAGAGAATAAAATAATTTAATTAAAAATTATTTTTCCACATCATACTACCAACAGGTTGATTTGATTGAGCATTATATTTAGCATTTGATTTTTTACAATAAGGTACTAAAATAGTATCCTTATTAACAGGGAAATAAATTAATTGACCAATTGGCATTCCCTTATATACTCTTGTAGGTTTGACACAATTAATTTCCAATGTCCAAGTACCTTGAAAACCAACATCACCTTTACCAGCAGTAGCATGAATAGAAATACCCAATCTACCTGTACTACTTTTACCTTCTAAAAATGGTACATGTTCATGTGTTTCTGTATATTCTTCTGTTACTCCTAAATATAATTCACCTGGTTGAAGAATATAACCTTCATCTGGTATATCAAATAATTCAATTTCATTATTCTTTTTAGCATCTAGAATTTCATCTTTATAAATTGCTAATTTACTACCAAGATGAACATCATAGGAATTGGAGCCTAAATTCTTTCTATCATACGGTTCAATAATGATCGTCTTTTTTTCAATTTCTTTTAAAATTTCTCCATCTGTTAATATCATTTTAATGATGTTTATTTAAATAGATTGGTGTGTGATGATTAAATTTATTATCAAAGCTCTAGAGATGGTAATTAGTTCTTCTCTGTTTTTTTTTTTCTAGTTTTTTAAAATTGAGTGTATAACGCATGTTGGTGAGAAAATTGGCGCCAATCAATCCTCCTACTCATATCAATTTGAATCTTCCTCTCCATTCATCACACAATAATTTTAATGTAAAACTTGTTTAATAAATCATCACATATTAAACGGATAACATCACAACAACATCATCGGAGTAACTCTAATAATAATAACAAACTCTCTAATTAAAAAATGTCTTCATTTAATACACAATCATCTTCATCACCTCCACTTCAACAACCACAATTATCATCATCATTAAATAATACTAATACTAATACGAATACTAATAATAATAATACAATACCAAATAATTCATCATCTCAAACATTACAACAAACTCCATCCATGTCCTCAATATCATATTATTCATCTCCTTTAAATTCACCACAACAACAACAACAACAACAATCAAATAATTTATTAACAAATAATTTATTACAACAATCATTTCAATCTCCAAATAATAATTCTACTATAAATAATAATTCTACTATAAATAGTAGTAATAATAATAATTTAAATAATTTTGATGTAATTGGATTTTCAGAAGAAGAATTAAAATCAATTGATCAAACATTTTCAATTGGAGCAATGAATGCATTTGGAATGAAACAAAGTGAAAATGAAATTTTAAATTTAATTGACCAAATTAGTACATTACAAGTTAGATCATTTTTAGGATCAATGGAAATTGAATTAAAACATCAAAATTTATTAAATAATAATTTTGATAATTTTCAATCAGTTTCACAATTATTTCAAGAAAAGGAAAAATCAATTTCAAATTTAGTTAAAGATTTAAAAATTATTACAAGATCTATAAATGATATTAATCAAAAAATACATCAATCTAATAATAATAATAGTAATAATTAATATTAGTTAATATTTTTTTGTAAATAAATGTAAATAGTTACGATAATAACAATTCATTTTTTAAAAAGAAATTTAAAATTTTTGTACAAAATTTAAAAATGTTTTATTTACATTGTTTAATAATACTTGTTACACTCTCAAAATTAACAAGTATATATTTGGTAAAATGACTACTACAGATATTGTTGATTGGAATATGAATTTTTCAAGTAAACAATTGAAGAATGAAATAAATTTGAATCTTGTATAGAATCTTCATAATCTGATAACGTATTATTACTATGAGATAATGTTAATGTATTACTATGTGATGATTCATATGGATGTGGATATAATAATGTTGGAGTTGGTGGTGTTTGAGGTGTAATATCAAACTCTGTTATTTCTGTCAAGCCTTCTTCTTCAATTGTATGTTCATGTTCTGTACTCATATCATAATGATGATAATGGTGTTTACTGTTATGATGTTTATGATGCACTTTATGTTCAATAACAATGTCATAGTAGTTAGTGGTATTATTATTATTATTATTGGTATTAGTAGTTGTAGTATTGGATATCGAAGAGTTCAAAGTCTTCTTTTCTTTACGTGAGGTGGCTTTGTTGAATTTGTTGCCCATTTTGAGTTGTTTTTTTGTGTTTGTTGGTTTAATCCATTGTGCATTCCAAAGGTCATTTTGTGTTGTTTAAAATTTTCCTTATCCGAATTATTTTGCGTCCAATTTCTTTAGAATTGTTATTTTAAATATGCCCTTTTTTGGTCACATTCTCACAAATTTG